ACCATCTACAGATGTTTCAGGGAAAGGAAGTTTGGAAAAATCTATTAATGAATTTTTTATGGACAGCCCGTTGTCCGTGGAAATGGTTGAGGAATTCTTTCAGAACTACTCATTTCCGATGCGATTCCAAAGTAGTGAATGTCCTATTAATTTTTTTTTCAAACCTATAACTGAATTTCTGAGAATCTCTGTTGAAATGAAGCTGTATGGTAATGATGTCGAAACCTTCATTTGCATTGAAAATTATCCAGAATAAATATGAAATACGGCATCAACACATCATTAAAAAATTTCATATTACAGTTTCATTTAAATTTCAAAGAATTTCATAATTAAAAATTAATGATCGTATTACAAAATCAATGGAAATCTCAAATCGCTTTGGAATTGATTCTCTGCATTATTAGATTAATGTTCATAAAAAAATTAAATATTATAGGCTTTTTTTATAATTTTATATTATTTCACAGATAAATTTCAAAGATCAAGAAATAATCGTTAAAATTGTATATGAATGATCCTATTAATCAGCTTTGAGAATAGTGTCTATAATTGAAAGAAATTTGAAGATTATGAGAAAGAATGTTGAATGTATGAGTCAATAGAACTTCAAGTAAAAAATGAAAACTTCGATGACTGTTGGGTGCATCTAAAAATAAACTTCCGTGTTCTTATGACTTCTGGTTCTCGTCGAAGTAATAATTTGTTGATTAGATTAGAACTATAAGGTCTCCATTGTCCGACTGCCTTCAACAGACAGATGCACAATGGGCACTTGCAAATGGGACAGGTGCGGCCCGGAAGTTGCTTTACCAAACCGCTTTGTAATGAACCGTGGACATAGGAAATTACCAAACTGTTCTACAGAGAATGTGCCTTACTTCTCTTATTTTTTTTTTCCAGTCTGCATGACTTCCTAATGATTTTGGAGGGCCATCAAGCAGTTCAGCGTCCTTCAGACTTGTTCCGCGACTCGTGTTGTTAAAAAAAGCGCCGAGGAAGAAGTAAAAAAAAAAACTTGCTCTTGGTGCTCATAAGATACCCCGCTAGAAATTCCCACGATGCCATTGCTACCGACCCTTCGAGTACGGCGACCTTTTTCCGCGTGGATATTCTCAAGGCTTCCCTAGTCCGCAAAGACAAATTCAATACATGAAAATATTCGAGTACTTCGATAATCTTTCGATTGTTTAAACCACTCCTGTTTGTCTGTTATCGCTTCCGACAGATTTAAGCAATTCAGTAGTGAAGTGGTAAACTGGGATAAGTGCATTTTTTTCTAGATCAATTTTTAGTCGATATCTCAGGATTGAAGGAGCGTAGCGAATTTCTGCATGAACATTTTTTGTAGAAAAAGATGAGAGCTACAAAAGAGGTATCCATGAAAATCCCGCTATCTCCCTTCAATTCCGAGATGTCGGCCAGAAACTGGAGTCGAAAAAAATGCACTTATTCTGATTTACGACTTGGCAAGAATTGGAAATTATAAGGAAATTTCTATGACTTTTTACAGTTCGTGGAGAAAGTAAATTGTTTAAATTAC